TTGATGTGGAGGAGGTGTTCTGAGGTGGTCCATGGTCCTCCGGTGGAGGTTGTCTGACAGGTTGCGCCCCAACCCTGGAGGCTCGCATCTGATTCCACCACGAAGTCTGGGGTGGGACCGAAATTAGCTTTGCCGTTCCAGGCCGACATGTGGTGGAGCCACCAACGGAGTTCCTCTCTCACCTCTGAAGTGATCGGGACCCTCTGGTCGTATGATGGATGGGACCGGAGGAATTGAGCTTTCAAGCATTGCATGGCCCGGTAGTGAAGGGGGCCTGGGTAGATTGCCTGAATGGAGGCCGAGAGTAGGCCTACTACCCGAGCTAATCCTCGAAGAGGTAAATCCTGTTGACGAAGCGTTTTGCATAGTTCCTTCTTGATCGCGGATAACTTGGACTGAGGTAGGCGAAGAACACAGGTTGAAGAGTCGATTTCGAAGCCGAGAAATTGAATGACTCTGGTTGGGGACAGTGACGATTTCTCTTGGTTGATGACGAACCCCAAGGATTCGTTTAATGCAGAAGTATAGTTCGTCTGAGAACGCAGTTTGGATACGTCTTCGCAGAGAAGAAAGAGGTCGTCGAGGTAGATTAAACAACGGATGCCCCTTTCTCGCAGATGTGTGGTGACTGGCTTGAGGAGTTTGGTGAAGCACCACGGAGCGGAACTCAGGCCGAATGGCAGACAGGTGAATTGGAATACTCTGTGGTGCCAATGAAAGCGGAGAAAACGCCGGCTTGAAGGGTGTACTGGCACCGAAAGGTAAGCGTCCTTGAGGTCGAGACGGGTGAACCAGTCGCCTGGTCGGAGGATGTCTCTGAGGAGGTGAATCCCTTCCATTTTGAAATGTCGATAAATAACGAAAGAGTTCAGTTGACGAAGGTTGATGACTTGGCGAAATTCCCCTGACTTCTTCTTGACTAAGAAGATGGAGCTGAGGAAACCTTCGTCGGGTGGAGCGAGTTGGATCGCTCCTTTTGTTAACAGAGAACGTAGTTCTGAATCTAGGTGAAGACTCTGAGCCCTTGACATTTTTGGATAGCGAGGATAACCTGTTTGAGAAGGGAGAGAATGAAACTCTATGTAGAAACCCTGAACTGTGTTTAGGACCCAGGTATCTGAAGACAGGGTCTTCCACATGTCTACACAGTGAGACAACCTGCCCGCATGATAAACAGTAGAAAGGTGAAAGGGAGGAAATCTCACCTGATGTGTAGCTACTGCATCCGCGGGTTCTGTATCCTCTTCCTCTATCTGCTCTTTGGGAGTAAGAGCCTCTTGGTTGATAGTTGGGGAAGAAAGATGAAGTTGGGGTTCTCTGGCGCTGGTTTGTGGTCCAGAAACGGCTGACTGTGCGACCCCTTGTACGGCCAGCCCTGCCAAAAACCCATGAGGGTTGATAATGAAATACTCTTTTCATTGATGATTGCGCCTTGTTTAGTGTGGCATATAGGTTTACATGTTTATGTAATTCTTTAACCCCTTAAGGACTGGACTGTTTTTGCGATGTTGTACATTTGCGACCAGGCATATTTTTACACTTTTGTGGTGTTTGTGTTTGGCTGTAATTTTCCGCTTTCTCATTTACTGTTCCCATACAAATTATATATTGTTTTTTTCAGGACAAAAGGGGCTTTCTTTACATACCATTATTTATATAAACTCATGTATTTTAATTTAAAAAAAATAAAAAAATATGATGAAAAATTGAAAAAAATACATGTTTTTTTACTTTTACTTGAAAAATCTTTTACTCATCTACAAAAGCGAATGAAAAAAACTGCTAAATAGATTCAAAATTGTGTCCTGAGTTTAAAAATACCCAGTGTTTACGTGCTTTTTTGCTTTTTTTTGCATGTTATAGGGCTATAGGTACAAGTAGGATATTGCGGTTTCAAAACATACATTTTTAAATTTATCAATAGTGACATTGTAACACTATTATCTGTCATAAATCTCTGAATAACACCCCACATGTTTTTTCTTTAAACGGGGTGTAATGAGTCTTTTTGTGACATTTTTGGAAGGCATTAGTAAAAATTATATTTTTTGGTGTGGTGAGAGAAACTGGGCGTGAACGTGTTTTGCTGAACAAGTGGTTACCAAGAGGCACACTATAACTTTGGGGTCTTTTTGAATGACCATGTTGTGATTTCTGCAAACAAGGGCTGCATAATCCTCAAAGACAACGTAACCAACCTGGCCATTTTCAATGTAAAAATATTTGACCCATATATTTGACCTTGTAACTTTCAAAAATGCTATAAAACCTGTACATGGGGGGTACTGTTTTACTCGGGAGACATCGCTGAACACAAATATTAGTGTTTAAAAACTGGAAAACGTATCACAACAATTATATCATCAGTAAAAATGCTGTTTGTGTGTAAAAAATGCAAAAAAAGTAACTTTCACTGACAATATCATCGCTGTGACATGTTTTACTGTTTTGAATCACTAATATTTGTGTTCAGCGAAGTCTCCCGAGTAAAACAGTACCCCCCATGTACAGGTTTTAGGGTGTCGTAGAACGTTACAGGGTAAAATACAGTGCTAGCAAATTAAATTCTCTGGAATTTCGGCCTGGGTTGGCAGGCAGGTCCCTCAAATTCCAATCAATAAAATTACTGAATTATTTAAAAATATTACATAAATATGCACGTAGAATTTAAATATATATGCATATTTATATATTTGAAGTCTACGTGTATATTTATATAATTATTTATTTAATTTTGTATATGGACGTATGTATATTTCTTATTATTTTTATTTATTTTTATATACATAGATATATATACAAATTCATTCTAAGTGTATTTTGATATAAATATATATATATTAATTTTAAAATACAGTTAGAATAAAATTTCATATAGCTATATAATTTTTTTTTAATTTTTTATTATTTAAAAATTTTTTTATTTAATTTAAATTACTTATTTATATTTTATAATATATATATACAATATATATAGTTATTATATATATTATATATATATATGTGTGTAATTTAATAAGTGTATTTTTATATTAATATAAGTACATATTAATATAAAAATACACTTAGTATGGCATTATATATATATGATATATAGACATATATTATATAGATATAATATATGTATATATATGATATATAGACATATATTATATAGATATAATATATGTCTATATATCATATATACACATATTTAATTATTTTTATTTTTTTATTAACATTAACTTTATTTTTATTTTTTTTATTTTACACATGCAGGGAGACTGCCTGTCAGCACAGACAGTCCCCCTGCAGGCAGACACATGGACACCTATTGTGACCATGTGATCGCTCTGTTAAGCGATCACATGGCCCCAGGGGTCCTAATCTGCCGTGGGGAGACTGTCTGGGCTGCAGGCAGTCTCCCCACAACCAGAGCAACGCTGATCGCCGCCGGGGGAACGACGGCGATCAGGTAAGTAGCTCTGACCGTTAGGACGGTTCAGGACCGTCATCGGTCGGCAACGCAAAAATGCCGATGACGGTCCTGAACCGTCCTCGGTCCTTAAGGGGTTAATGTAGGGTTCTCCAAACAATAGACCCTGTGCTTTGGGGCCCAATTCCTTGGTTCCCAAGTCAGCTAACTTAGCATCCATACGCAGCAGCACTGCTTTTCTACGCTCAGTACAGAGGGATGTATTAGCATTGCCCAGCAGGCAAATAGAGCGTAGAGCCCATTCTCTGATCACAGATGGGTCTAGAGGGCCTTCATTAGATAAGGCTTCATCAGCCAGTAGAAGAATTTTTGCCAGAGGCCCTAAGATGTCCAGCATTTTGTCTTGAGTTAGGCGTAGGCTGCGTTCAATGCCCTTTTTTTGGGTCACGGCCTGATCTAGCCAGATATGTGTAGAGCAGCGTATCAAATTCCGGGGTCACCGCGACCTTATCCGGTAGAGTGGGTCTGGGACATTCAGCTCGTAGTCGTTTGCGGACCTCCCGATCTAGGGGCCTTCTGATCCAAAAATGAATATACTGGGAGAGATGGTCTGGTAGTGACCATTCGGATGATCGAGGATATCTGATTTGTCTTGGGTCAAAAAGCGGTTGGCCAAGTGAATCCAGAAAAGATTCAGTATCCCCAGATGGAAGTGATCCGGGTAACATAACTTCAGATGGGAGGTCTCCCATAGTCGACTGAGGGAGAGGTGGCCCTTTTATGGAAGTCTCGGGCCAGTCCTCCTCATATTCTGAGGAGTGGTCAGCTTGCCATTCATCTAGGATGGCTAAGGGATGTAAGTCAAAAGAGTCTTCCTCTTCTTCTGACAGAGTAGGTTGGATGGAGTGTTTCTCTCTAGCATCCACCTGTTTAGGGCGTTTCGCCGGTTCTTTCCCCTTACGCTTGAGGGGTTCAGACCATTCCCTTTCCAATAACGTTTATATGGTTTGGAAGGGTTTCTTTTGGTGGAATCGGAATCCTCCGCCTCTTCGTCAGAAAGCGGGGTGTCGGAAATTTTAGGGTCTTTTGGCTCAATGGGCAGCACCCGAGCCAGGGCCTTTTCAAGTGAAGCAGCTACGGCTGCATTTATGATAGCTTGCAAGTTTTGATCTTGATTTGAAGCCTCCATAGCAACAGTTGGTACCTATGGGGCAGAATAGGCCAGTGTTAAAGTGTATTAATAAGGCCGTCTCGAGATATCACAGTATGTTATCATTTCAGATTGCAAGCTGTAAGTGGGGGTCACCCAGTATAAGTCACCTCAGGGAATACTTTTTCAAACCCGTATAGAGGTATAGTGGCACAGACAAAGCGGGCCAATCATGGGCTGTATATAACAGCAATCATAATTTAGTCTATGAGTTTACTTTATGCACATGCATAGTATAGATAAGTTGTAATCATAAAGTTTATATGGGAAGAAAAACTGTTTAGGTAGTAAATTAATTGATTGGGACTAAATTATATGTAGTACCTATAATTTACCACCAGAGGGAAATAGAGAGACACAGGGAAGAGAGACTGCATGTGGAGTCAAACTCCTTCTTTATCAGAGAAGGAGTAAGCAGGTAGAGAACCCTTTGGTGTAAATATTGAATATGAGGTGTTTATATTGTACACAATATTTATTTAACTTTAAGCAGCAATGTAAAAAATGGCCGCCGCACGGCCGGAGTGAATGGAGATCGCGGCTCCAAGAAAATGGCCGCCGCGATCTCGCGCGTGCGCACTAGTGAGGGGAGGAAGCCGTTTGGATCTCGCGGGGAGCGCGAGATCCAACATGGCCGCCGTGCGCACAGGGGACCGTTGGAGGCGTACTCCAAGGACCAAAAGCCCGGGAAACCGCGGCAAAAATGCCGCGCGGAGAAAACTGGGTTAAAGAGGTACCATACCCAAAAATACAATAATAATAAAACGGACAGTAACCAAAAAATAAAGGTGGAAAGAAGTGTGAGAAAATACACATAGAAGATAGTAGATGGGAAAAAAAGTAAATCAAACAGAAATAGAATAAAGGGTAAAAATATACATGTGAATAATATAGTAAATTAATATAGTAAATTAATATGGATAAAACAGATGAGAGTTACAATAGTAGATAAATCCCAGAAAAAAATCCCCCACAAAAGTAGGAGACAGTGGCACTCTGACCTGTACTGGTGTGAAGCAGCAAAGAAAGAGGAAATGACATCACTGGGAGGGACCTATATACCATGTTATTCCTTTTTTCTTATTGGTTACCTTGTTACTATGTGAAAAAGTGCTGCTGTGAAGCTTAAGTAAAGAAAGTCTTAAGCAAATACGAAGCCTCCTGTCATGTTATAAAATTGTTTGCACATATAGGCATATTTTGAAGGAAAGAAGATATCAATGGAATCATATAGAATTTTTTGATATGGGAATTTGTATCTATATATTTTTATTTATTTTTTTTTCTAGATGCCTTTTTGTATTTTTTCTATATGCCTTTTTGCCTTTTTTTTCATATATATAAAAAATCCAAAGTGTTCCTGCACTCACGCTTGATCCCTTAAAAATCGGGTGCTAGCATGCCATGGCTAGTATTATGTATCCATCCAAAATAGGCAGGAGCACTCACTTGTTAAAAGTCCAAAATTTATTAGAACATCTTTAAAAACGATCAACTTTTCAGTCCTGCATAGGGGACTTTCATCAGGATCAATATATATATATATATATATATATATATATATATATATATATATAATTTTTTTTTTTTAATTCTTTATTGTTGTTTGTGCATGAAAAAAGAACAATCCGGTCTGCTACACCACAATAGCTGCAGAAGACCATTCAACAACAGGTAGTAACATTGCATAAAGATTACTGTGCACAATTTTTTAGTAAAATACAGGTTAAGTCAAAGTGTGTCATAGAATGAAAACGCATGAGGATTAATGCTGGTCTGCTTCGTAGTCTGGCCCTGAGTAGGGAGGCATATTAGGGTGACATGCTGTGAGATCAATAGAAACCATAATGACACAGGGCATATTGGTCAAAACATTCAGCTTAATGTTGATAATGAATGGTATATGCAATATGTGCTCATAACGGGTCAGTGGAGGTAAGGATAACACAGTGCATTTTAGGCACGATACATTGCTGGGCGGTTATGGTATAGGTTCATCTGCGTTGTGTTTGTTAATGGTGTGTTTATAAAGCTCCCGATAACACAGTGCTTGCTAAACATCATCAACAACCTATTTTAGGCTAATTATTAATTTGCCTAATCTGGAGATTAACTTGCCTATACATGAGGGTGTACCACCTCCTAAGACAACATATTATGAAGCCATAAGTTACAGCAATCTGCGGCTTGCCAATATGATATATTAAACGTAAAATCAAAGGAACTAGATGCAATCAAACTAATAAATATTACAGGCATGTTATAATGGGAAACGGCACACTGTGATAATACATAGAGCAGGTGGGGGGGCGAAGCCTGACACAGACCGGAGCGGTCGCACATTGCCGGAGCTCCGGTACAATCCACTGAAATCTGCAGAAATCGGGGAAAACCCGCATCACATACAGACTCCCAACCGAGTACTGACCTCGGAGACACACAGACACGCTGATGCCGTTCCTCCTGACACCCGGCTCCAAAAATAAACGCCGCTGCAGCAAGGCCTACAGATCGGGAGGGCAACCTCAGGCCCTTTCGGGAACGCACTGGCCCTGGAACGTCCCAGACTTTGAGGACTGGTACCCCGACACACTGAGCGCAGGTGAGATGGGCCGCAAGACGCAAAAAACGCCCCAAAATACCGCAAAGCCCCAGCGCGATATAGGCCAAATGCTACAGGCCTCAAACGCCATGAAGGCCCAAACTCCTCGAGACACATCCCCACAACCTTCAGAGGAAGGAGACACACAGGACAATCCACACCCCAGTCCCCAACACCCGACACCCACAGGGACATCGGACACTAGCGCACCAGCCTCCAAAAATGACATACAGGCAATGCTAACAGCCCTACAGCAGAATCTCAGACAAATGTGGGAAGCAGATCTAGCCATACTCAAGCTAGACGTACACACGGTGTCAACGCGCACGCAAGCAATCGAAGAAGAGGTCAAGGGACTGAGGGAGAATTACCTAGCTCTAGGGGAGAAAGTGCGCAACTTGCACGCCTCACAACTGACAATGGCTAGGCAAGTTAATCTCTTGGATGACAGAGGGCGCCGCAAAAATATTAAAATTCGAGGGGTGTCGGAATCAATGCCACTGGACGAATTACCGCATTTCGCTAGACGCCTTGTGGCCACACTTTTACCAGCCAAACAGGCAAAAGCATTCCAATTCGACGGGATCTATCGTATAGCTAAATCCCCACAAGCACCCACCTCAGCTCCACGAGATGTAATCTTAAGATGCCGCTCAATGGCGGACAAATTGGGGCTAATGGCAGCAATACAAGGGCTGACCCCACTCGACTTCGAAACATGCAAAATCTCCTTCTTTCAGGACCTGAGCAGAGCCACACTACAATGGCGCAAGAGCATGCACCCAATCACCAAGCAACTCCAAACGGCTGGGATAACCTATAGGTGGGCGACCCGAGGAACTCTCTGGATCACTAAAGGCGACAAGCACTTCAAGGCCACCGAACCCACAGAAGGCCCAGCACTGATGACTGCCCTGGGACTACCGAACCCCACAGAAAACTTGGGGACACCACTAGACCCTCAGCCTGGAACTTCCGAAGCTGAAACAGCCGTGACTCCTGGAAGAGGCAGAGATGCCAAACCCAAGACCTGAGGGACATACTTAAGCAGACAGCCGACTAGGCTTCAGTTCGCACATTCAGTTCAAATGTTCTGTGTAGCTAACCCTGACTCTTAAACTATATATAGTTCTCTGTTTTTTCTCGTTCTGACAATTATTGCAGCACGACCGAGGCTCACTAGATCCAACCATTTATGCTCCGACGACACCTCCCCTCCCCCCCCCTCTCCCTGGGGTTATAGGGAACCGATATCGAGGGCGATATAATAAACCGGACTGGCATCAGGCACATCCACTAGGTTGATAACCATAGCCTGGAACCACACGGGTCCGACCTGATCCTGCCATATTACAGCGACCTATAATCGTCTGGACACACTAGCCATAGCTATGAACTGTTTTAGCGACTACACACAGCCACCACTAGACTGAAGGGACACCCTACGACTCATAAACCCACATCCTCGGGACAAAGGGCGAGACGTTAGACACAATACCCAGATTTAGTCATTCCCACCCTGTTCCCGCAGCTCACGACCCTACAATACAAGGGGCGATATTGACAGATAGGTACCCTCTATCATCACGATTACCCGACTTACATCACTCGTTATAACATTGAGACCAATTGTATCTATAAAATGTTTGTGAAACGATCCTAGACATTTATTTACATGATATTCACTGTTTTGATGTGTAAAGACTATTGTGGCCTTACACATATGTTTGCCATTTTCACGGACGAAAAATAAAGATTAAAAAAAAAAAAAATACATAGAGCAGGAGACTCATCATGGCGGTCATCCTATCCCCATCGTAGGTATAATACAATCCCACTTAGCGGTGAGTTGCAGACCTGGAGCTAGAGGTATCAGCTGGGGATCCAGCTTCTGCTTCTCTCTCCACTCATCTTTCCTCCGCATATTCCACATTCCTATCTTGATGGTGATAAGCAGCAGTGATACGTTTCTGCTCACTGCCTGCCTCTGGCCTATCGATGCATTCTTCGGTGTCTTTGGTGCGCTGGGCCCCTGACAACGGCTTCTGTGCTGCGTGGGGCTCTTTGGGGTGGTCCAGGCGGTGCCTCCTTCACCCCAAAGATCATCTCTCTGTCCCTCTTTGTTTTCCTCCTGGTGGCTCCGGAATTGTGCAGCTTCGGAGTTGATGGGTGGCCTGCTTTTGCCGCCGCGTGTCGATTAGGCTGCCTCCGCCTCAGGTGTGTTGGGCTTGTGGTGTCTACCAGAGGGTGCCCTGGAGAGCAGTAGGATGGTTCAGGGGGTGCCTCAAAGGGCTCAGTGGTTGCCAGTCTGCTCTCCAGTCGCCTCCAAAAGGCATCAAAGATAGCTGTTAGACGATCAGTTGCGGCCATCTCCACCTCAGGAATCTGGTTACTCGTGACGTCCGCCATCTTATGAGGTATTACACTTTGCTCGCTTACATTTGCATTTCTGCCATGGCTCTTCAGCTTTGCTTGGGAGCTGTTCGGGGATGGGACCGGATGGGATCACCCCCACCGGTCCAGAGGGCGATAGCAGGGCACCGGGAACATGCTCAGCACTTTGCCTGCACTGGTCCAGGAGATCGGCCGCCTCTCCCTTCATCTGCGCTAGCTAGGCCTCATTGAAGCTCGGCGACTGATGTGCCTTAAAAGCCCGCTGCCAACATCGGTTCTTCATTTAGCTTAAAAGTAGGTTGGTTGATGCCCGGTTATGGGCCTCTCAGCCAGAAAAGTAGATTATTTTTTTTCAGCATGTCCCTAGGAGCTAACAAAGGACACAACCAGTCGCCATGATTGTCAGGCCCCGCCCCTATATACTTTGTTTTATTATTTTTTTTTTAATTTTTTTTTTGTTCCATGTCATCTTTATGCAGATATATGATTATATGATATATATTTATGTATTTGTTGGATTATTATTGTTATGATGAGAGTCCACTATTACATGCCCGGTCTGTGCTATACTGACGGCTCATAGTACCATTTCTGTTTATGCGTTCCATGGTGGAATGTGGAAATGAATTTCCACTATGAAAAAAACTGGATGCTGCTGTACTTGACAGTCGTCCCCAGAAGTGCTGTACACCGCAGTGGAACGCAAACTGTCCGACAGGAGACACCTGCGTCCCTCCACAGACTGATATAAAAGAGAACGGATTCCCATCATATCTACATCACTGAGGAAGTCAAACTCTGATGAAACGCGTTGGATTTAGG